TGGTATTTTGTGGAAGAGCCACACTCAAGGGGCCAAAGAGCCGCATGTGGCTCGTGAGCCTCGGTTTGCTGACCACGGGTAGGCCATCTCGGTATATGATTGGCACTTAGCTGGAGGAAAAGAAGCTTCTCCCATTTTTATGATAGCAGATAGTGGTGTAAGTTGGAGCCCACCAAAGTTAGGCCCTTACCCTTCCATCTCCCCAAATGTTTAAGTTTTAAAGAGATGTCCCAGGTCCTTGAGAAGACAGTTTTGGGTGGTAGAAGATCTACATCTCAAAGGAAATAAAAACAATTGGTAATTGCAAACATTCTTAATTACTTGCTCTAAGAGTGAGTTCAGGAGCTTATCAGCCTATCATCTGATTTTGACTAGAACAGACAGAAAGACCTCCAGGTAGCCTTGAGCTTTCTTGGGCATTTTAATGGGGGTCTCAGGTCACATAGGAACATGGTGCTGAGCTGCCGGAATCCATGCTGAAGTTTGGGCAGATCTCTCTAAGTGAAGGGAGTTGGATTAATTATGCATCAAGAGTGTTATGCTGTTCTCAGTAGGAACACTTTTGGTGTTTCCAATAACTCACATTGTGGCAATGGTGAACATTTGCAGTGAAAGAATATCTTTGTAGCAAATTGCACCACTGTAAGCTTCTCAAAGACTCAACAAAACCCAAGAATTTGAAGGAAATTGACCCTGTTCAGTCAGTCAAGCTAGATAAGCATGGGGTCAAGTGGTACTTTGAAATTACTGATTACTTGGAGTCTAAAACAATCATAAAATAAACTACTATGACCTAGTTCTTCAAATCCCCAAATTATCCAACTTCATGACATCTGTCATTGTGTGTGTGTGTGTGTGTGTGTGTGTGTGTGTGTGTGAGCATGTGTTTTTCTCTCCGGCTGTGCAGTATATTTCCTACCCTTAGTATTTTATAATTGCTTAGTATTTTGTAACCTTGACTTGGAAGTTTGATGCTATTCATTAACTAGTATACTGGCTTTGAGCTATATGTGCAGCTGCCAACTCCTCCCA